AACCAACCCGAAAATTCACTACGAAGTTATGGAGTTTCAATCAATGGGCAACAACTCCATAAAACTCGGGGTGCTACGATCCGACACTGAAATATCACTATGTTCAGTCACGGGGGTTCCGACTCAACTACAGAAAGGAGATCATGCAAATATTCTGATCAGAGCTAAAGACAGAGAAGGCAAACAAGTCATATCCCGCCAAGAGGTGCAAGCGCAAGTTCTGAAACCAAATGGATCATGGGTAGATGGCAGAGTAGTTAACAACAACGATGGAACGTACAATCTGATGCTTACGGGACAGTCGGATGGGATATATCAGGTGAAAATGACAATAGGTCAACAGCCAATACCACGTACGCCAGTACAAATACCTGTCAAGAAGGGCCTTGTAAAAATCATAGGCAAGGAAGGCACCTTGGATGGTCAGTTCCAGCATCCTTGCGGCATTGCCATCAACAAACACGGTAATTACGTAGCAGCTGATGGAAACAACTGCAGAGTCCAGATCATCGACGGCAATGGCAATTGTAAGAAAGTATTAAAGTTCACAAAGTTTGAGCGGTCCTTCATACCTTTTGACATAGCGATTTCAAATGATGACAAATATTTTATGACTGACGCAGGAAATAATCAGATTGTAGTCAGTGATGAAAATGGCAAGGTATTCCGTTGCTTCGGACAGAAAGAACTCCGAGATCCATGTGGCATTGCGATAAGCCCTCTAGATGGCGCTGTCTACGTAACAGAGTGGGATCGAAACATTGAGAAGAGCGACAAAGAAGGACACTGTATTAAAAAGTTCAAACAGAATGGAGAATTCATCAAAGTAATGGGTAACTATGGCAACGGAAGAGGACAATTTAAAGGGCCATACTTCATATCTATCGACTGTCAAGGTATGATGTTTGTGACGGAATACATCAACGACCGTATTCAAGTCTTTAGCTCGGATAACAGACCGCTGTATTTTTTCGGACGACCAGGAAAAGATGGCGGAGCTGTGCATGGCCCTCGTGGTATCGCGATAGATAGAAACAGATATATCTATGTATGTGACTGCACCAATCGCATACACAAATTTGATAGTGGCGGTCGGTTTATAGCATTTGCCGATGGTGATTTGAGTGGATTGGACCATCCAGTTGGTCTAGCTTTGACCAATGACACACCATCTAAGGTTGTAGTTGCTGACAAGAAAAATAATTGTATACAAAGTATTCGTTCAGTAAATGTTCACTGTTGATATACACATTTGA